ACCTTGGGCTCTCCATAGAACTCACACAGAGATCTAGGAGAAAAGAACTCACTAAGAGATCTTCACGACGGAACTCACAAAGAGAACACAAGAGCCAAATTTTCATTCAAAATTCATCATCCCTCAATACAAGAAAGCTAGCCTATAAATATGCCTCATAAAAAGAAAAATAACAAAGACTAAAATGCCCTTCGGGCTACAACACTACATGACCACCTATAAGGGTAAAAAGGAAAAAAACAATATAAAATAAACTAGTACAAAAACATATAAATAAATAACTAAAAAAAATCATAGCCGTTGATCTCCGATGTCCTCATCACATTATCATTTTAGTTGTTTGAATTATTATTTTTCAATTTGATGCATAGAATATAAATCAAATTCATATACATACTTAATATAATGTCCAATAATTTCAATTAAGCAAAAGAAAACTGAAATATCATAAAACAACATAATCCCTCACTTTGTTTTTCCTTAATTTGATTCATCTTGCATAATGAACATAATATACGCTATAATATTCATTGATTGCAACAACATGAAAAGGAAATATAAGTACAGTAAAATAATTGTAATTATCCACTTTAACTACTTCTGTGTTTTCAAAATTTTCCAAATCCTCAATTCTTTAAATTACTCCCAATACTTGTCTCAGCTCAACTGCGAAAATCTTCCACTGTTCAAATAACATTCATTTGTATTAATTAAACAACATTACAAATTCAAGACAACATTTAATTAATTTGACTGGCATCCTTAAGGGAAACTTCAAATGCATCAACAATCATTTATATAACACTGAAAGTTTCCAACTTTTCCTATCTTGAAGAAAATTCATAATCTACTTAATTATCTAAAACAAATCAAAATTAATTACCTCGATTAACAATTTCTTCCTTCATCTTTGAAATTTGAGAATCACCACTAGATTTCTGCTTCCAAATTGACAATCACATATTATTTCTTCAATTATAGGAAATGAATTATACAATTTTTCTTATATAATTTTGAATGTAAAAATAATAATTTAAATCACTTACTTTTCCTCCGTCATCAAAAATGGAAATTCGCTATTTAGTCCTTTCCAACAATTTTCTTCTCTTTTTCTCCCAATTCTTTCCTCTACCTTCACTTAAGACAAATTGATCATTCTTAGGCTTAAATCACAACATTATTTACACCAAAATGAGGAAAATTCACAAATTTATCGTCATTCTCCTTCTTTTTCCTCTCAGTCGGTTCTGTTCGCTCCTTTTGTTCAATTGGCTTAACTAGATGAAGTGAAACAAAGATATTTCACATAAGGAGTCACTGTTTTTCACTCTTGTATGCATTTCCTCGCTCGATTGTGCGATCCATTCCACCAGGTCCTCCCACGCACGAGTTCGGTTCGCCTGCTTTGTCCGCTCGCTATTTGCTCACTCGATTTCCCTCACCCATTAAATAGGTCCGGTTCATTTGAGTCAGCAATCCGGTGCTTACATTAGGCAAAGGTACATGGATTGAAGGCTAAGGTACATGAAGCATGCATTCTCAAAATGAGGCTCTTCCTAAGAATCATTAAAGTGGATATATAAGTTAAAGCGCAAAAACAGTCCCCACTGAATATTCGAACTTAATATGGATAACTTAAATAGCAAGATTTCCTCATAAAATTGCCTCAAAATAATTTTTAGTTGATCTGCCACACGATGCAAAATAAATAATGCTTCCAAGGTAAAGGAGTTTTAAATAAAGCATGACTCGATGGAAAATCATTTCCATAGCATTATTATCATAAGTTTAGTTAAAATAACATACCTTTCAATGAATAAATAATTCAACATTCAAAAATACATTATAACCAATCAAAAGTGACAAGGAAAAAAACGAGTGCACTTTCCTTAATTTATTGATTTTTTAAGTTGTTTTGAAAATTTTTTGAAACTTTTTATCTAACATATTTCTATCTCCTATTTTTCTCCCTATTGAAAATTGATCAAACAAGCTCAATTTTAGCAAAATGAACCGGGAATCATCTTCTCTAAATACTTTTATTTTGCAAAGATATTTTAAAAAAAAATCTCTTTTCTCTCTTTCTCTTTCCATTATCCTCTTTCTTGTTGACGCATTTTTTCTTGTCGACTCAACTTGACTCAAATTGAGTCGAATCAGATGGGGTAAAAATAAGTCATGATTATTTAACATTGTTTGCTTGTAAGAGCTGCTTAAAACCTCCCAAAGAGGCATGACCAATAGGATAGAAATAAGTCTTAGCACTTTAAGTGTCAGACAATTCTGTTATGTTTATTTTTGTCATATAAACTGCTTATAAAATCCTCTTCATGTTTTGCTAACTTGAGTCTTTTGCATTTTAAAATATATTTGTTAGACTTAGGATGTATGTTTAAGCCTATGGGATATATTTATAGGAGAGATAGACCAGATGGATGAACTTGCCATAAGTGAAGCCCAAGGCCCACCTAGAAGTTAAAGCTTGAAGACCCCACAGATTAAGTCTGTAAAAATTTAATTGAATTGTATAATATCAGGTATATCAGCTGCTAATAGTAGTTGTAATAATTTGAATATTATTTACTTTCATTTTTGATTGATTATGTATATAAAACATGTTTTAATTGTTTACTGAGTAGACATTAGAAATGCATGTTTTCTCATAGGTTAATTCGCTTGCTTTGCTTGAGGGTTTCCTAGACTTTTATTATGTGCTCTTAAGATAAAAAACTAATTTTTCTATTAATTAACATATAAACAATCTAAAATCAATCATAGGATAACCAGGTTTTCTAAATAAAAAGAAAATTTCATGGAACACCTTAATGAGCAAGCTTTCAAAAATAATATGATCATTCATGGCCTCCACTTAAGAACCAGATAACATAATCTGTATTTCAGTAAGTCAACATATGCATACGCAAATGATCAGGCATCTTGGCTTAAAAATCAAGTTGTAAGTCATATTTTCTGAATCAAAACAGCCTTCCCTACTCTTCATATGTACAGAGATCGCATTATATAGTTTTAAAACCAGTAAAATAGGTTTAGTTGGGTGCCCTAAACCTTAATTTTAAGGTATAGGTTTGTAAGTTCCTTGTATTCTATTAGACATGGATTTGAGGTACTACCACTCAGTAGTCCTCACCTTAATTTTAGGATCTGAGGCCATTGTTGACTTCAGTCACATCATAAGCCCTCACACTACAAGCATTTTCTTAAATATATGTTGTAATATAAGACCCAACATTCTAAATCAAATTGGTCAACTTGAACAAAAATCTAATTTCAAAATGTAATGCCTAACATATGATAGTTTGAATACTTCTGAGTTTCCCTAAAATCAAGTACTCCTATATTTTCCTCCCTTTGGCTGTCATTCTTTAAATTCGATTTAAAATTGATCTCATTATCTTTAAAATTTTCAAAGACTAAATCTTTGAACAAGAATTTCTCAAATATCAAAAATAAAAATATTAGATAATTTTTGGTGATTCAAAAAAATCCATTAATTTAATCAAAAGTGTACTCAAATAACAGATGTTTGAGATATAATTAACCGTAAGGGCTTGCCTTTATGGGGCATTTATATCCAAGAATAAAATAAACCATATTCAATCAAATATTGAATAGGGAAAAATCTCTGTTAAAATTAAAATTATAATTTTTGTTATTGAGTCCATAGAGGAATAATATTTTTGTCATTCAGGATAATATATTATTTTATATGCCGCACTCAATCACAAAATAACCAATCCGTTGAGGATGATTAAATTTCTCCAACATTCCCCTGACAACGATTTTTGCCTCCTCTTTTCTCTCCTCCCTTTTTGTCTATGGCACACCATATTTTGCTCTAATGTGGAAAAAATCATTTGTTCATACACATCCCATTCAACCTATAATTGATTCTTCCCATCGTCTCTTTCTCTTCATATCATCTCCTTCTGCAAAACTTACATTTTTACAGCACCCTTTCGTCATTCTTTCTTCCACTCACTTGCTAATGGTTACTCAATGGTTCAGCATGACTTCTATTTGTAGAACAAGAAGAAATAGTCAAAGAGGTGGATTTGCAGGTTTCACATCCATTAAGTGTATGGTCATTTGGTGGAGGGGAAAATGTGTCACCACAGTGAAGTGAACTGTCAGTTGGTGGAGGTGAAGGCGCTCAACCATGAGGATCCTGGTGAGTTGGTTGTAAAACCACCATGAAGAAAATGATGAACTAGCAGATATAAAGGTGTCACAACTAGGAATTGCATGGAGAATTGGTGGAGGTCGAAGTTGGTGGAGATAAAGGGGTCACAACCATGAAGATTCAAACTTAAATCCTCCTTTAGGCTAAAAGCCAAAACCAAAGAGGGAAAGGGGGTGAGAAGAATAATTTTGCCTCTACCCCTACTGCATGGAGACAGCTAACGAGGTTCCGACATTACATGTTTTGACCCAACATAAATTAATTGTACCGATATTTATAAACTTAACAAAATGCCGTTTTCATTATATCATTGAAAAATAATGCATTACATGGTAAATGCTGGAAAATTAAGAGATTGGAAATTAGAAGATAATTGAAGCGCTCTCGCCATCCCTTATTCTATCTCTTTGGACACTAAGAGTGCAGTAAGCAATTCGTGTTTAATATGTCGGTGTGAAAAGCTCCAGAATATGCAAACCATCTGCCATCTTCTTGGGTCAGGAGGGAATGTTTAGATGCAACAAACTTAGTATTTTGGGCTGATTATGGACATTCTCTGTGAAACACAAAATGGTTCCAAAACAAGTTGCCAGAAGCATGTATATAAGTGAGAGTTCTGTTAAAACGTCTGCCAAGGGAAAAGCTAGCTGCAATTAGGATTTTTTAGATTTTGGAAAGACACTAATGTTTATCATAAAGCAAAAGAACTTATGAAATAATTTCTGTTGAACAATTTAATCCTTGCTAAATTAGAGCATTCAGGAATCAATAAGTAATGGTTACATTGTTTGAAACACGTCCGTACTTTATGCAATTTAACATTGATTCGAATTAAAAAAAGGTAAAACAATACCAAGTCCTGCTGTCCTGAGCTCTGAGGCTAAACAATCAGCAATACATAATAGATAGTGAGCATCAGTACGGGCATATTGAATCATTTCTGCAGAAAGTGGACGTTGTCTCCAATCTTCACGCTGCATTTTAGAATAAAATGTAACATGCAAAGACAATAAGCAGAAGATATCCGAGAAAAACAATTAGTGTTAAATTAGAAAAATTGAAATATACTATGCAATCCATAAACATATTTCAAGATCATTCGAAAACTAGCATTTTAATTTTGACGTCAAAAGAATCTATATTAAGTGTAGGTAGCTTTAAGTTGAGACAAGGTAATGAAAAGTAGATTGAGATGGTTTACGAATTAGAGATAAGCACATGTAAGGTGGAAAGTAAAAGAAACACCGTTAAGGTAGATAATAGAACTTGCATGAAATATGGCTAACGCTAAAGCTGCTTGTCACATAAAGAATTAGCTAAACAACAGCTCTTAACAGGAATGAATGGTGAAGAAGGATTCATCAAGCAAAAAACTAATACTTTATTAGGTCCGTCTTTTTTCTCCAACCTTCATGCCTGAGAATGCCCATAGATCACCCCCAAACCCGGATGATAGAAGAAATCCAATGTGTTACTGGTCAAGTCAGCCAATTCCAAACAAGTTTGTGAAGAAATGGTATAAAGATTAAAAAAAAAAGCTTAAACAGATGATGTTGCATACTGTGGCAATAATGACGTTTTTTTGGCAAACATGTTTATATGATTAAGCACCGGAAAGCAAAAAGGAGAAAAACATTAGCTCTGCATCCACTGCTACAAATGTAGTGGGAAAAATAGATTAAAAAAAAAAAGCAATGCATTGTGGAAAGCTGAATGAGAATTACAGTTAATTTAGATGGGACAAACATAGATAATTTAACAACAGGTTGAAGGCATCATACAGCTGCAAAAAACATACAGCTGTTGAGAGAAAAATGGCCAAATTTGGTGAAAATTTACAGCTCATCCCTCTCAAACAAATGTTGTAAAACCCGAAAATGACGATCGTAGGGCGTCACACGCATTTCGATGCGCTGCGACGAGATTTAAGTGAAAATTAAAAGTTAACGGATTTCGACAGAAATAATTTTATAAAATTCTACGTAAAATTCTGAACGTTTTGGTGGCTAGGAATGAAGAAAAGTGTGACAATATTGTATCAAAGTGTACTTCTTGTCAGATGATGAAAGTGGAACATCAGAAACCAGGAGGATTACTACAACCCTTACCTATACCTGAGTGAAATGGAAAGACATTGCTATGGATTTTATGGTTGGTTTACCCAGATTCAGAAGAGGGTGTGACGCTTTATGGGTGATAATTGATAGGTTAACTAAGTCTACACACTTTTTACCTATCAAACGATCTGATCCAGCTGAGAAATTGGCAAGCATGTATGTTAGTGAGATTGTCAGATTACATGGAGTACCAAAGTCTATAGTGTCAGATCGGGATGGAAGATTCACCTCCAGATTGTGAAAGAAGGTTCAGTAAGATATGGGTACCAGGCTTACTTTTAGTACAGCGTTCCACTCTCAAACATATGGGAAGTCAGAAAGAGCCATCCAGACTTTAGAAGATTTGTTCAGGTTATATGTTTTGGATTTTGGTGGTAAGTGGGAGACATATATACCACTGATTGAGTTTGCTTACAATAACTGTTTTCAAGCAAGTATTGGTATGGCTCCTTATGAGGCTTTGTATGGGAGAATGTGTAGGACACCTCTGTCACGACCCGGCCCGGCTAGCCCGATTATATCGGGGCGGGAACAGACGATCGTACGGAAGAGCATAATTACATAACATAATTTCATTTAAAACTTAAGGTTAGAACATACATATCATCCCAAAAATACATGGGTTTTGCAACCTCTAAGTTGGGCTGAAATAAGGAAAAAGAAGATTATTAGTACATATCTAGTTGATGATGCTACAGAAAAGATCAAATTGATCTGTGACAGATTGAGAGCAGTATATGATAGACAAAAGAAATATTATGATTCAAAACACCGACCAATTGAATTTGAGGTGGGAGAGTTTGTTTTCCTTAACCGTCCAATGAAGCGAGTGAAGAGATGGTAAAGCATGAAAGTTGAGTCCAAGATATGTAGGTCCTTTTGAAATTTCAAAAAGAATTGGAAAAGTGACATATAAGTTGATTCTACCAGCACACATGAGTGGAGTGTATATTGTGTTTCATATTTCCTCTTTAAGAAAGTATATTTCAGATAAAGCCCAGAAGATTAGTACTGAAGTGGTGGATATTCAATCAGATTTGACTTTTGTGGAAGAACCTGAGAGAATTATTAATTATAATGTTAAGCAGTTAAGAAACAGAAAAATTCCTTATGTTAAAGTGTTATGGAGGCATAGATATGAGAAAGATGCAACTTGGGAGGAATCAGAAATAAGGGAGAATCATCCTCATTTATTTGGTTAATGTATGGTTTTAATTTTTGGTATTTCTCTTAAATTTAGAAGACGAAATTTTTATTAGGATGAGAGAATTGTAAAACCCTAAAACGACGATAGTAGGGCGTCGCACGCATTTTGATGCGCTGCAATGTGATTTAAGTGAAAAATTCAAAGTTAACAGATTTCACCATAAATAATTTTATAAAATTCTACGCAAAATTCTGAACGATTTGGTATATAAAACCTATAGTTAATTTTGCTAAATTTTGGAGATAAAAATTTTATAAGTTTAAAAATACCCAAGCTACCCCAAACCATTTTTAAAGCCGAAATGTTTTAAGTGAGAGCATAGCAGTCTTTTGACAATATCTATCTCCCTAAATAATGAAAACCGAACCCCCTTCCCTTATATTTCATTCGGCAAATCCAAGAGGGAGCGGACGGACCGAGCGGAAGAAGGGCGACGGCGACTCCGGCGACGATTTTCTAGCGAGGAAATTTGAGGAAATCATAGAGGAGACTAGTAAGGGGAAAAAGAATGTATGTTTAATTTAAGCATTTCCCCTCTCATTCTCAAGATATTTGGAAATAAAGTTTTTAGGATTTTTCCAAAATACTTGTTTCTTCCAAAATTTCTTTACGAAATCAATAAGGAAGGTTTAGTGAGATGTTTTAACGGTGAAAATGAAGTTTCTCTAAATTTTATTTTGAGATTTGAAAATTATGGTTTTTACCTAAAATTAAAATTTCTTAAGTCACTTCTACAAATAACGGTTTCTATGGTTATTAGAAATATTTCTAAATCAAAATTTTGAATTTTCTTAAGAATTTGTATTTTTCATAATTTTCTAATTAAATAAATCCGAAAATGATTAAGGTAATTATTAAAATAGGTTTAGTGAAAACTTTGGCATATTGATTTGATGAAATTGATGATTTAGGGTTTCAAAAAATTTGGGATTTTAATAAATCCAAAAATTAAAATTAAATTATTTTAATTTCATTAAGTGTCATAATGACCAAATAATGAGAAGCGAAGAGTTTAAATAATTTGGAAATGATTAAAACCTTAAAAAAGCTTTATAGTTGACACTTCTTTATATGTGATTTTTAGGTTGTGATCTTAAAGGGGAGCAACGCATGTCAAAGTGACACTATATGGAATTTCTGTGCTCAAGTTAAGGTAGATACTCATATCTATCATAAAAATTTCATGTATTGTTTTGCTTCCTTTTATTAAACTACAAATGTTTAACATTTTTAAAGTTTATATGGTTTATGAATTTTATGAATTCTACTTTGCAAATAAAATGTTAGTATAATCTTTTTATTGCAATAGATTAGTAAACTTATATGTTATTTGTGATTTTCATGTTTTGAGCTATTGATTTATGAATCACGATTGTTTTCATCAAGCAAATGATTGACTGAATATAGATTATAAATTATGATATGAAACTCTGCATGTTAATGCAGAGTGCCCAAATGGTAAAGAGGCTTAACAAAGCTAAATGGTAAAAAGACTCATCATAGCCAAATTATAAAGGGGGCTCTTCAGAGTCAATGGTAAAGGAATGATCACAACAACAACAACAACATCAAGCCTTTATCCCACTACGTGGGGTCGGCTACATGAATCCTTTTTCTCCATTGTGTCCTATTAAAAATCAAATTCTCGTTTAAATATAATAAAGAAATGTCATTCCTAATATTTTCTAACCAAGTCTTTTTAGGTCTACCCATACCTTTCTTAATATAAGTCAAATCTAATACCTCTACTCTCGTAACCGGGTCATCGGAAGGCCGCCGTTTTATGTGACCAAACCATCTAAGACGACTCTCTCTAATCTTATGATCTTCTACTGGAGCTATTCCAACCTTTTCACGTATACGCTCATTTCGTATTCTATCTCTAAGGGTAAAGCCACTCATCCACCTGAGCATCCTCATCTCTGCCACACTTAACTTAGTATTATGCTTCTCTTTTAATGGCCAACATTCGGCACCATAAAGCATTGTAGGCCTCACTACCATCTTATATAATTTTTTCTTAAATTTGAGGGGTACATTTCTATCACATAACAAGCCCAATGCATTCCTCCACTTCAACCATCCAACTTGAATTCTGCTGATAATATCCCCATCTATTTCACCATCACTCTAAACAATAGATCCAATATATCTAAAATGTGTACTCTTATTAATGACTTGATCGCCCAAAGTCATAATCCCCTCACTAGGTCTATTACTACTAAAATTACACTCCATATATTCCGTTTTAGATCTACTCAAGCGAAACCTTTAGACTCTAAGGTTGACCTCCATAATTCAAGTTTACCTTCAACTCCTCTCTAGTCTTATCAACAAGAAGAATATCGTCAGCAAAAAGTATACACCAAGGTACATCCTCTTGCAAATGTCTAGTGAGAACATCCATGACTAAAGCAAAAAGGTAAATGAATGATCAAATAAATAAAAATGTGTACCTGATCAGTACAAACTCTATGGGCACCTCCGAGATGGGTGGTATAGTAAATATTATGCATATTATGGTTCATATATATTTCTATACTTAATAAAGGTTTATGTTTGAGGAAAGGTTATATGAAAGTTTATGTTTGAGGAAAGATTATGAAAATGCTTCTTGTACTGAAATGTTTTGAAATTATGTAATATTGACTGTCGTTTAAAGTTTACATATGAAAAAGATATTTTATTGTGATTTTATGTAATTTTTGTATGAAAAATATGAATTACTTGCTGAGCGACTATGCTCCCCCCTGGTCGTGGGATTCTTTTTTAGGAGAACCATCTAAGAAGTGATGGCACGAGATGACAGTACACCTACCGTCGTAGAGGACCTCAAGAAAAAAGATTTTATATTTTCTGTTATGTGTATGAGTCAGTGGATTATTAGGAGGAGTCTATTTGGAGTTTATGTTTATGTTTATGTTTTTAGTGGTTTAGAAGAAATTATTGAAAAATTTTCAGTTTGATGTTTTAGTGGCTCTTTCTTACTTTGTATGGATGATGATTAAGTTTATGTCCTTTTATTAAAAGTCAATGAAATTGTTATGATTTATATATTATATGTGTTTTTCATACGACTGTTTGTTCCCGCCCCGTTATTTCGGGCTAGTCGGGCCGGGTTGTAACAAATGTGGCGTATACTTAAAATCAATCAAGCCATGATTGGTGGTTGCAATTTACAGCTATTCAAGGAGCTCGCAGATAGTTGCAGATCCTGCGGGTCTTGCACGCGGGTCTTACTGCAACTATCTGCTAGCTCCCTGAATAGCTGTAAGTACCATGTATATGCAAACAAACATACAAAAGCCAGCACAATTATAAATAGAGTTAAATGCTGGGAAAATAAATCTAGTTACTACTAGTAAAGCAAAGTACTGAATAGCAAGTAAAACAAAGTACTAGAAAGCTAGTAAAGCAACATTGATAAAAGCATATAGAAATAAACATACGACGTTGCTAAAGTAGATTAACAGACTATAATAGTAAGAAAAATCTACGAGCACAAAATAAAAATAACAAACACACTACTAAAAGCTAAACAAACTGCTCGCAAATGTCAAAATCATAGTCTAGTGTCAAACTAGCAAATAATTACCAATATATGTGCTACTTCTAAGGGAAGCAGTAAGACCCGCGTGTTAGGGAACTTCTAAATGAATAACCCTATATTCAAAATTCAACCAAATGGACATCCAGTCTATAGGATTAAGTTGTTAGACCCGCTCTCGAACAACTTCTAAATGAAGTTGTAAGACACACATTTTAAAAAAATTATTAAATAAATTGCAATGATCTAAAACCCCAAACAATCCAATTTAAACATATGGGCATCTTAATCTAAAAGGAATAAGTTGTAAGACCCGCTTTTCAGGCTACTTCCTAAGGGATTCATAATACCTACCCAAACGATTAAAACATTTGAGCAGCCTTGCTGTAGAGTTAGGTTGTAAGACTCACCTTTGTACATCTCATAAATATACCTATAAGTCCCACTCCAAATTAAACATACATGTAACTTCTAAGGGAGTTGTAAGACCTACCAATCAAATTAATTTATGAGTATTCTAATAGATGTAAAGCGCAAAACCCAAATAAAACTAAAACTAAAACTCACATCTAACCACTTCAGCCTACTCGGGATCCCTGAGAGGAGGCAACCCATGACTACTAATTAGATTTCCTGGATACTATGGTCAATGATTGTTAGTGTTGGTAGACTAAAACTACAGTGTACCCGGGACGATGGAACCATGGGATCTTGAATGGGATTTACCTTCATTTTCCCCACAATTAAGACTAAATTACCTAAAATTTATTCATCATTAATCGAAAATTCTCTCTTATGTATTAAAAGAGGTAATTAATTATGAGTGTTTGCGCTCATGGGAAGTAAGGATCTCAGATCTAATTAAACCCTGACAATACCCTCAGGGAAAATCTGGTTAATTGCAATATGACTTAAGGGAAATTGAATCCTACAGCTGCAAAATGGGATTCATGCATCCGTATCGTTTTTCTTGAGCCAACAGAATTACATGGTGCATTTGATAGGGTGCAAAGTCCTCCGTTAACTATGATCGACTAACAATTGCCCTCTTAGGCAAACATTGTCCCTAGGTGTACAAGGTCCCATAGGACGACACAACTCATGATTGCTGTAAAGATCCTATTGTCAATTGGAACCACTACCTCCTCCGACTAAATAGACCATAATCCACAAAACACTTGACGATAAAACTATAAGATCTTAATCGGGTTCGTCATTATTACCCCCATCATGCACTTTAAGTTGACAGTAATAAATTTTCCTCATCTTAAAATGAAATTGTTGCTACTACAAGCTAAGTATTTAATGCCTAACTAGTCTTAATCAAAAGTTCATTTTCATCACTAAAAGACATAATTAATCATGAGTGCTTGAGCCTAAGGAAAACTTAAGACTAAGTCATAAAGCCCTCACAAAATAAGGGCGAAAGCTCTGAGCAGTGCCTTATTTGCAATCTAATCCGCCTTCTAAAAATTGTACCCATAACAAAAACTCTCTTAGAAATAGAATGAAGAGCAAGAATAATGAATGGGCAAAGAGGTATTGAAAGACATAAGAGAAGTAATGTGATGCAACTTGGGAGCAAAGACAACAAAATGGATAAGAAGAAAATGCATGAACACAAATATGGGAGCTGATTTTTTATGTTTACACATACCAAAGAGAATGAATCTTCAAATGGCCTTACCTGAATCGCAAAGCAACATTCAATGCTTTAGGGAAACTTTCAGTAAAAAATCGAAGCTGGCCTATTTATATCTAATAGAATATTCTAGAAGTCCACAAAAGCTGGAGCATTCAGTTCACCGCAACAATGAATGATGACATCAACTTGGTAGACACTGTCTAACAAAAACATGTCGTACAGATTATAGATACAGTTGTATCAAGACTACGATCATTTTACACAAATTGTAAACTATGCAAACATTACTCTAAGTAGCCAGACGCAATTTTCAACCAAATATCAACTTCTTGATACCCTGATTCATTTGTGATTTGAACGAGAATATATTATTTGTATTCAAAACATGATTACAAACATCATGTACCCATGATACAATTTCCAAAAAAAAAGTTTAAATATGCAAACCTGTAGAGATTTGTCAGTTAACACACCACAATATGCTTCGAGCAAAAAAGCCAGTGATTTCTGTGGTTTTGCCAGAACCTCACATGCCTGCAAGAAGAAATTACTGATAAGCTAACCATGATAATAAATTAATAATATATTTTCAAAACAAGGTCAAATTATCCAAAAAGCGAGCACATGGTCGATTAGAGAACAGTGAAGGATCTTGCACTACCATATTAACAACTGCTTGCGCAGTTTCATATTAAGTGCCTTGCTGAAACAAATAAACCTCTCTACTTGATTTTATAAATCTGCTTAGAACAATAATCAAGAATTACGTAATTGCCTTGCATCTTTTGCTACTCCAAGAGAAACAAGACAAGTCAAATGTGAGTGTCTAGTTATGATGTCCATGAGTGGATGTATAGGTGCAGATGTCATCCGTAGTGGGCATGCCTTGCAATTGTGTGGAGCACACGCAAATTGCAAGTTGCATATATAGCTCATTTGCACGGTGAGTGGGATACAAGCAGTGACTTGCATATGTAATCATGCAGTTGTGTGCATGTGATAGTGCATGTGATAGCCTGTGTAGGTTAATGGTGTGTGCATGCAGAAAATGTGCGCATGACAATGATAAGCAAATGCAGTAGTGGCTATGTTCATGTGCATGCAACACAGCAACAGTGTTTGTGCAAGTGACAAAGTGCCCGCGTCTAACAGTAAAATTGCAGAAAATGTAAGGAAATAAAGGAGATACATGGTAATTAGGAAATTTCGAGCTTGCCTAAAACTCCAAAACATATTTGTGAAGACAATAAGGCAATTTGAGGATGCCCACAACCCCAGGTATCGTTGGGGGCCGGCTCTACAAGAGAGTAGACACCTAATAACTCATTAACACCCACCAACAACATAATATGCACTGATCATAACTTATATAACTTACCAAAAGCCACAAAAACCCACTAAACTACCCATTATACTTATTCGTTGACATTAACCACTTGAAACTGACTTGAACTTACTCAAACCTAGGTTCAAATATAATTCTAACTATGTTCAAACCTTAGTTTGTGCAAGGGAAGGCTTGCGGATTAGAGGAAGAGTGCACAAAGCAAAGTGCGACATAGTCGCACAAGGGAACGACAACTCCATCCTGAGGACAATGTTGGACACATCACGGACGCCTACTTTGGGGAGGCCGGTGAGGGGCTTCAAGAGCTACTTGGATGCAGCTCACATTTCGCTAGCAACTTCGATAGATTCACAAAGGACATGGTAGCCGCCTTCGAGGTAGATGCGGACGTGGAGCAAACAATTAGATGCAAGCTTCATTGCTGATGAGATTTAGCAAGCAATAAGGTAATTCAGCATGGTTGTCGATGCAACAATGGATGGTGGAAAGCTATGGCTTTGTGTCATTAAGGGATTGAACGACATTAGCATATTCAATGAAGATGGTGAGGAAGGGGTCAAAGGGTTCAATTGCATCATCTCCCTCATGCATCACTCTCCAACATGAGATATTGGCCTCCGCCATCCCACGCAAACCAAGATTGAACCTTATATGAATATATGGCCAATTACATATATTATGAGGCATATAAAGTCAAACCTCTCTATTGATACTCAACGAAACCATTTGTCAAAGCATCTTTAGACATATCCTACTCAAACAAATTAAATCAATTATATTTGAGCTCGAACAAATTGATTGAGCGGCCCCAAATAAAAATTTGAGTAAAAATATTTTTTTTTCCGGAAAAAGTTTCCAGGTAGTAGACAGCCAGCATAAAAATTGTCGAATAATGACATATCAGTAAGTACAAAAAAAAAAAAAAGATAGGGAAGGAAAAAAAAAGGGAAGAAAAAGAGAGGGAAAGAGAAAAAAAAGAAAGAAAGAAAAATGAATAAATAAATAAATAACATGTGCCACAAATTGAAGACCCGAAGACCTGTGTCAGGACTAATCATCCTAAAGCCCTCGCGTCGTCGTATTTTGATCCAGCCGAGCGGATCGAAAGGCAAGTGTCTTCCCAACCTCCCTTTGCAAGGAGAGGATGCGGGAGGCTGCCGGAATTTTAAATGATAAAGGACCCACAAAATTAATTTCAAACAAAATTTATCATTTTAAATTATTTAAAAAATAATAATTATGTGTCATTTTAATTGACAAAAAAATGGGGATGAGAGATCAAATACTAATGGATATTGAGTGGCCAAGCGAGTCGTCTGTGAAAGAAAAAGAAACTAGTAAGTTGGAAGAAAGCATACATAAAGAGAAAAGTGCTCCACATCCGATGGAGATAGTTTTGAATCAAGGAAATTCTGATATAATGCAAGAAATTGAAGATTTAAGGGCTAAAGTGGAGGAACTGGAGAGGGACTGTACTGAACTTATTGAAACCTGGAGCTCATTTATAAACTCAAGGAATCAAAAAAGGATGCTAATAAGGCAGAAGAGTTTCTCTTCATTCAATGATTTCCATAGTCCAAGTGTTCATGATAGTTCTGCATCTGACATTAGCCATCTTAAATATCAAAAATGCCAATCAAAAGAGGAGCTTCAAAATAGGGATGTGAATGGAGTACAGAGGCATTCACATTACAAATGGCTGATATAAAGAAAAAAATGTGCTAAACTTGAGATTGAACTCCAATATTTTAAGAATCATGCCAATGACCTTGATATAAGACTTAAAGAATGCCAAGTGGAAGTAGAAAAGAAAAAATTACACTCAATCGAATGTCAGCTTGAAGCTGCTGAAAGGGGTTATTCAGATGTTGTTACAGGACAGGGGCCTGGAATTATGAAGTCAAAAAATCTGCATGGAAATGGCAAGTATGCTATGCGAGTTAGATAAGCAACTTCAACTTGCATTAATTCATGCAAGAAACCTAAATGAAGGCAGAATACTTTTGCAGAAAATTGCAATGAAATCAGGTTTCCAGAAGATCAGATTTAACCAGTCAGGAAAGACAATGGACGAGATGACATTGTAATTCTAAAGCAAAAGATTGAAGATGGTCATGTGAAGAGGCAATCTAGGCTTGAGCAAGAAGAAGAGGCTAAAACTTCTCTGCTAGGAATGATTTAGAGATTAACGAAGCTGATTTTGGTTCAACAAAAACCGCATATTCTCCAAGATCCATCAACGTCCTGTTCCAAGAAGGCATTCATTTGGAGAAGAGGAGCCTTCATCTCTTACATCTAGAAGATGTGAAATGATATTGGATCATGAAAATAGTGACATCTCTGGTTCATTTGAAGGATATGGAGAGACAGATTATTCATCAAAGGAAGAGAAAAAAAAAACGAGAAGCTTGGGTTCTTAAAATGGGTCAAGCTTAGGTAACAAGCTAGTGCTGGCGCAAGTTCTGAAGGTGATAAGTCTAGTGGCAAGAAATTACATACAATACCTTCAACCCCACCAGGCTGATTTTGCCAGCCTTCGTTCAAAACCAAGAATTTCAAATTCTTTACCCTCATAAAGTTCTCCCGTCAATGCTCTTATAGAAGCCTCGCTGATCTTGCCTCTAAAAATTGTTTCACTCCAAGAAGCATAGCGTATTCGCTAAAAGTAAAACATCCCTACAATAGCTTTGATCTACACGCTAAAATATATTCCGCATGTACTCCGATTTTTATGCCAAGCTCCTAAATGCAAGATCTGAAAATATTTCGCGAATTTGCTAAAAAGTGCACAAACACTCCAACGAAAGCCTTGTTAGTAGAAAATTTTGATTGAAGAGCTATTTGATTTTCAGAATACCCTCAAAAGTCTAAAATCATTCATTCAGAAACTAAATTCAAATTCTACCAATAGTTTAAATTTTTGAAATGAAATATTTTGCATGTGCTCAAATCTTTACGTCAAGCTCCTAAATTTGAGATGAGAATGCTTCGTGAATTTGGTAAAAGTGCTCAAACACTCTGACGATGATAGTCGCGTTGAATGTAAATCTTAACTGGATGGGTCAATTCTCAAAGCCAATTAAAATTTTAAAATCAAATATCTATCAAATTCAAAATATTCAAATGAAAATTTAACCACCAAAAATTTAAAACTAAAATTCATCAACACTTCACAATGGTTTGACAAGAATGACGAATTGAAGAATAACTTCAGCTAACAAAAAGCATATGTCTTGTTGAATGTATTACTATAAGTCATTCTCAATGTATTTCTCATCAGCAGGGACGTGGCACATACCCTCTGATTGGGGGGTTTTGCACCAAAATGTTACCACTATATTATGGTCGCGATCAAAGCCCGTATGTTCCCTAATGGCTAAAAGCCCCTGAAGTAATAAATTATATGGCGCACTCGATAAAATATAAAGTCTTTTGTTAGCTAAGGTTGACTTAAATTCAACCTCTTAGGCAAACATCCACCCCATGTCTACAGTACCCTTGGACGACACAACTCATGGTTGCCAACAAGGTACCTTTTATTAGGTTGCGTTGACTACCTCTTCTGACTAAGTAGACCAGGGACCATGACAGCCCTGGATGACGGAATCATGAGATCTTTTTTGGGCCTGTCATCATTCTCCCATCACCCTCTTTATAGTGATGAAATTCAAATCATAAACTCCAAATTCAAAACAAAATTCAAACCTTAAAATTATTGATATTATATGCTAGGTAACTATTGTGACATATTTAATGACTAGTTTTAATCGAAATTTCTCTCTCGTTATCGGGAGGGATAATTAACCATTGTGCCTCACACCTATGGGAAACCAGAACTCAAATCATAAAGTCCTAGCAAAATGAGCATGAAATATCAGGGTAGTGGCTTAAACATAATCTGCCTTACGAAAATCTATCCTGAAATCTAAACTTGTTAAAACTCTCCCCATCAATAAAAGAAGGTGCGAATTTTTGGAGCCCACATTTGAAAGCTCACAAGAATCCTTGATCAAGGGTTATGACTCATATTTTAATAAAATAGGAATATTTTTTGTCCAAAATGAACTTGGGCATATTTCTCAAAAAAAGTGAAACTTTGAGGATATTTGATCAATAATAACTATTATGAGATAAAAAGTGAAATTTTCCATACAGAATAAAATATGACCATTATATGAATTTCTAATGCATTTATTAATATTTTAATTTTTCTAACAGGTATTTTGCTTGGGGCTAAATGCTATATTATAAATAAGTGATGCAGGAGGAAAAGAAAAAGAATAACAAAAAGTCAAAATAAGCGCTGAATTAGCAATGTTTTTAGCAACCTTAATCTTAAGGCTCCATCTTACAATTAATTGATTGCAAGGTATGCTTACAACAAACTTTACGTTCCCAAACAGAGACCTGAATTTATGGGAGCATGATGCCTCAATTGTTAACATACAAGTGAACGGAATTAAGTTGCATATAAATGCTAGCGCAAGAACAGGCCTATAGTTCCTTATCATACAAGAACTTTTATTGTCGGGTACAACTGGAACTTATCTTACATTAATCTTCATCAAAATGATCAGCAAAGAAACTCATATGTATGGTTAGAGAAACTATGAAAGAGCTTAATCAAGGACCCCATGACTAGTGATTAACTCATTGGAAAATTAAAATGGAATAGAATGATGCAACATTAGCTTTCAATCTCTAGAAACAGCTATAGAACTTGAAGTCCACATCAGTTATTTAGGAAATCTCCCAACAGAGTCCCACAGTTATGAATAAGATATAGTAGCTTATTATTCAATTCTAGATCCACAAACTATAGATTGAGCTCTACATCAATTACTTGGAAATCTCCATTCCCAAACATAATCTGACAATTATGAGTAGCCTATGGTAGCTTCTGCACTGATAATAGATTAGCATGCAATGTTCCGAAATTTTTCTACATGTTGTGATTTCAATATAATGCTATTAAATCTTATGACGTTAACTATAGGTCCAAACTTATATAAAATTAAAAAATAAATTCAAATTAAATACAGAAAAACCTAACAGAAAAAGTTTAGTCGTCAATGAGAATCAAATGCATCTTTCAAAGGTTAAAAAGGCCACCCTACACACAATGACATTATCATCTTTTGAAGTAGAATAAAAGTCACATCATACGCAAAACCTCATAAGGATGAATGTCAATCTAGTAAAATAATACTTGAAAGAATGACAAAAAAAATAATGATCACCTTTGCAGTATCAAACATGTTTACAACATATATATGGAAGTCCCTCTGAAGCCAGAGGACATCATTATCAGCTCCATGGAATACCTACAAAATAAAGTGATTTCCTGACCTTCCAACAATTCATAAAAAAATATGATGAAGCATGGTTATACTAAATTTGGAAAAAAAATAAAAAATAACGTTCTGGGATGCAGAGTATAGCAAAGAATTTAGATATGCTACATCTCTTTTGATACCAATCACTATCTTAACTATGACAAGCAACACTCTTGAGTAATTTGCAACTATAAGCTGAGGCTACCAACTTCGGTAAAGTGGTTATGCATGAAGCATATCAACGTCAGCAATAAACCTGTAAGATGGAAAAGATGTGCATTGACCCTATAATTACTGGATATACTGGCGCAAAGATCAATTGCAAGCTGATAATTAGGATTGTCAAAAAAAAAAAAACTCAACATTCATGAACAGCTCATATTCAACTTGTTAAGAAGCCCGTGTTCGATTCATTCATCAAGTAAGCAAGCTAAACACCAACATATGTTTTAAGCTTGATTTTTAAACCAAGTGAACACAAACAAACCTTTGTTTGATCGTTTGGCGTATTATTTTTATATTTATTAATTAGTTAGTAGAAAAGTAGAATAATTCTATCATGTTGGAAATTGGCTCGTTCGATTCAAATTCTAATGAACCGAACATGAACGCATTATTCGTGAACACTTTTAAATACGAGTCAAATAGGAACACATCAAATTTCAAAAGAGTTGAACACAAACAAACTACAAGCTCACAAATGCTAGGATTGTTTACACCCCTATTGATCATGCCTCAACTAGTAATTCAGCCACCGTACTCCCCCACACCCACCTTCCCATGATGAATGGAAAGAATATGGCATTCTTAGGAATTACAGATAGTCAGACCAGAAGAGGAAACAGGGTACAATATACAAAAGGGAAATACAAATTTTTAGTAAAGCTTCTGCCAAAAAAAGAGTTTTAGTAAAGCATGATACAAACATGCCGTCATTTATATTTTATGGACAATTGCATAAACGCATTCAGATTCATATGGATGCAGTGGAATAATGATCATTTTATAACACTAACCGGTACTCCATATGCCATCATTTTGATTCATCTCTAATCCAAAGACATTTATAATCCTATTTCGAACCTTTTTCTAAAGTTGGGTTCCCCATTTGGGGTACTCAATCCGTCTTTTACTTTTGAAATAGTTACTTGAGGATGCTATTTAGCATATCTAGTGTAACTAGGGATGTAACCAAGTCGAGTCGAGTCAAATTTTGGCACAATCAAGCTCAGCTCGTTAGTCTGAGGAATAATATTTGTTAAAACTGAGAATTTGAGAGGGAAAAGCTTGAAATTATTCATTACAATCTTCCCTATTTATAGATCTATACAGGATATCCTAATGAGGAAATAATAAATTGCAGATTTAATACATAAATTATACATAAAAATCTTTCCTAAATTTGCTCCTTCATTATGGCGTGATCCATGAGAGTATCACACGGATTGATCTTTGTGTCCGTCGGATCCTTTGCACTGTGAACGGCTGGATTTCAACAATATTCATAACAATAAAGTTCGAGGAATAATATTCATAACAAAAACCTACCATTCATTCAGGAAATATTTTCTAAAATATGAAAGAAAAGTCGAAAGAAAATTATAATGGGAGACAAAGGCACTCCAACTCCAAAAAACTCCATACTTACATCCCAAGGTATGTGTACATCCAACAAAAATTTATCGAAAAAGAAAGGCCCTGGTGTGACTATTGTCGAAAACCTCAACAACAAAAAAATGTTGGAAATTGTACAGGAAACCGTTGATGGGAAACCAGCAAAGAAAAATCGTGAATTCTCAGTAACCAATAGTGAATCTCTAAAGCTATCCACATCCACACTTTCATCATTTGATCAAAAGCAAATGGAAATATTGAAAAAGGTGTTTGGCCAACTTCTAACAAGCCCAATTCCAACCATATCTAATACTAGCAATAGACCAACTGCTCAAAAATTTATATCATAAGTGTCATAACCCGGCCTGGATACTCGAATAACGAGGTGGGAACGAGTGATCGAATGATTAATTCATTTCTTTAACTTATACTTAAAAATTAACAATAACATCACTAATAAAACTGAAGAGTCATTAACAAACATACAAATTTAAAGTGATAAACGAGATTGTACATGTTTTCATTTTACCGCCTTCTTCTATAGGTTTTTCTATCTTTCAATCATTTCTATTTATCAGAAGATTTACTTGAAATTATATTTAACGGTTTGAGTTTACCTAGTAAACTCAGTGAATAATCACAACTTATAGCACACCATTTATAAATATATAAATCAATTAGATATTCCATCCTTAGTATATATGTCACACATCTATTGCATTTCACTTTCATTTATTCATTTCCCAATAATTCATTTTCATCCTAAGTATATCTGTCACATATCTATTGAAAACTTTATTCCTTCACAGCTTAAATTACTTGAATTCTTCCTATCGACAATTATATACATTTACTTCTCTAAATTTGAATAGGAAAGAAAAAAAATAAGAAATTTGAAATCACTTACATTTTTTTATGAAGAAATTTTCCAAATCCAAATTCTTCCTCTTTCTCCTTCAAATTTTCTTCCCTTACCTTCAATTAAGAATTCCTCTCTGCATAGATTAGAAATCACTGGTTGATTTGCACATAAATATAAAAAAAAATTCAACGAACAAACCTTCCTTGTTCCTCCTCTTGGTCAACCTCTATAGCTCTTTTCGTTCACTTGGCTTAATTGGACGAAGCAAAACGAAGTTATCTCGCATGAGGAGTCATTGTTTTTCACTCCCATATGCATTTCTACATTAAATCCCGTGATCTGAACCCATATGAAGCGTCTGTGCCTATGTTCAGTCCGCTAAGTTTGCCAGTTGAGTTCGCCTATTTTGTCTGTCTGTTGGATAGGAGTCGGTTCAAATGAACCGGATGAATTGGTTCTAACATAAATGTCTTTAATTCAAATATTCACAAAAGTCAACTATGAATTGTGAACTCAGAACCATCAGATCACGTGACTAGGAATATCCTACTATCTCACAAAATATACCAATGTTCTAAGGAGTACTCTGTAAGGATAGCAAATGGATCTATTAACCTCGGTATGTATCCCTCATTCAACTCAAACAAACATGATAGAAATAATGGCCAATTGGGCATAATATCATGCAAGTTACTCTCGAAACACGCAACAAACATTATAACTATCTATCGCTTATTGAGCAAAAAAACTATACATCTAAAGCGACAAGATAACCAAAAAGACGACCCCCTAGTGCATTTGTTTCAATTGAATTCGACGAAAAAAGACGAGCAATGCACACTACATCGCACCAAAGAAAATATTATTAAATTTGCTTGTGCGTGAAGCAAATAATTGGTGTACGAGAACATTGAGAAATTGTGTGAGGCGACAAAACAAAATCGTTAAAACATGAGAGCGACAAAATTCATAAGCAATAATGAATTTTTTTGTGAGGTGAATACCAATACATGTATGTTATTTTAACTAAAATTTAAATTAAATTAAAATAAGTCATTAAAATATAATTTTGAATTTGAAATAATACAATAGTAATTTAGTTTAAAATTAGGACTTATATAATTACACAAACACACACACACAAATATATATATAGTGCAAATAGATCAAGCAAATATATCATGCAAGTGCAACATATATGTGCACCAAAAGTTGTATAAATGCATTTAATAGCATGTAAATAGACCAAAATATATGTAAGTGCAATGTGCAAATACACTAAAAAGCACACGGATACATCAAAACATGGGAAATCTATCATGCAAGTGCACCAAAAGTTGTGTAAATGTATCATGCAAGTGCATCAAAAGTCATCCAAGAGTATCACGTAAGTGCATCAAAAGTTATGCAAGTGCATCATGCAAATGCACCAAAAGCCATGTACTGAAAAGTATACAAAGACATCAAAATGCATGCAAATGCATTGCGTAAATATATCAAAAAGCATACAAGTGCATTGAAAATTATGAAAGGACATCATGCATGTACACCAAAAAAGTTAAAGCAAAACAAATTGAAAAGCATGCAAATATAATAAAAAGCATACAAGTGCAACATGCAACATATCAAAAAATATGTAAATGTATTAGCAAATGCGCCAAAAAGCACACAAATGTACTATCATGCATTGAAAAGCATGTTAGTGTATTATGCAAAATCACAAAAAAAAAACATACGAGTGTGTCGTACAAATGTATCCAAAAACATGTACAGCATCCAAAAGATGTCAAATTTTCAAAATCAGCTTGTCTACATATACTCCAACAAGCGTGTTAAACATTCAAACTTAATGTCTAAGAATGTTGCACATACGAGAAATAAAGTGAACTCCAATTTGACCAACCTCAAAAACATGAAACTACTCTAAAACACATGCCATTTGTTTTGAAATAGTGTAAACCCTCTTTTCAAAGATCAAAATCATTAAAATGTATGTGTGCATTATAAACAGGTCACCCTACCCATAGGTTAGGGTCATATGTCCCACATTTCAAGTCTGATACTTCTCACAAGGACTGAAGTCGACAAGACTGAACCTCATGACAAATGTCTAAATAATAAATCAATAATGAAAAGATGTCCTACTTTACATTTGCATAAGGCATCCAATGCCTTTAAAAAAAGTAAATCCATTTCCAAATGCAAAACCCTCAAACTCCAAAATAAATTATTATAAGGCTCAAACCCATATAAAAATACAAAATACAAAAATAAATTCTAGTTAAATCTTTTGCCTTAAGGCATAAAATAGCCCATCTGCCCTCTGTTATAGTCTAATGAGGGTGACAATTTTGACATTAATCTTAAGGACGTAACAAGTGTCCTCTAAAATAAAGATTTTTAGGCCAAATAGCACACCACTAAACCACCCCATTTTTATAAAAACTGCTTGAATGACATAACTCATGGATGTCGATAAGAATTATTCGATCAAGTTGAGTCAACTACCTCTGCTGATTAAATAGAACATAATCCAAAACAACCCACCACAAAGTAATCATGAGATCTTGATTAGGTTCGTCACCATCCCTCCACTATCCATTTTAAGCAAACAATGGTAAATTTTCTATCCTAAAAACAAAAAATGTTGTTATAATATGTTAAGCATGTATTGCATGTCCATTAGCCTTACTTGAAAGTCATCTCTTATCAACGAGAGGTAATTAATCATATGAGCTTAAACTTATAGGAAATTTAAAATCAGATCTTAAATTCCTCATAAAATTAAGGTGAAATCTTTAGGTAGTATCTTAACTGCAATCTAATCAATCTTCTAAAAAGTTGATCTCGAAAAAACTCTCATATAAGAGTTAGGCATAAATTTTTGGAGCCCAAAGGACAATTATTGTTATACATATTGGAATAATTAAAATCTAATATTCTATATCACTAAACTCATTTTTATTGATCTCTAACTTTCTTGTAATCTCTTATCTTTTAGTAAAATTATAAGGGATATGAATTGTATAACTTTTTCTTACTTCTCACTATTAATTTCAAAATTTGGACTTGGGGAAGACGATTGACAATGCTAAGTAAAATGTTGTACTTTGTCTCTTGGAAACTGAAGAAAATCCTACATTACACATAAAAACATGCTCAATATGTATCATGTCCTAAAGAACTTGCAATCATAAAATGGCAAATCCATCTTAGCTATCCAAAATTAAGTACATAAAAATTTTATTTCTATCTTGTTTTAATAATAAAAATTCAAAATTATTTCATTGTAAAACTTGCAAACTATCAAAACACACTAAAAACACACATCCTAGCAACATTTGGGGACCCTCTCGTATAACTAGTATTTCTAGCACTATATGGTTTATATATTTTAGGTGATCACTTAATGAAAAATAAATTTGAAGCTTATCGCATCATAATGAATTTTTTATCTCCATGAATAAAATTAATTCAAAACTAAAATCCAAACCAGACAATGCAAGAGTACTTTCATTCAATTCTTTGAGCTTATCTTTTCGACAATAAATTATATATCAAAGCTATTGCATATATATGTGATAGAATAAGATTATTGAAACAAAAAATAGGCATCTTTTGGAAGTTGCTAGATCAATTATGATTCTAGCAATGATCTAAATCAATATTAGGGAAAGGTAGTCCTAATAATTTCATAACTCATTAAACAAATACGATCAAGTAGTCTTAAATTTAAAACTCCTTGCCAAGTCCTCAAAACATATCCCACAACCAACTAATTTCCATTATTCCTTCCAAAATCTTTTCTGCATTAGTTCATTTCTCATCTCATGAGCGAAGCAAATTTGACCTAAAAGCCATTAAGTGCATATTTGGTTATTCTCCAAACCAACAAACATATAAATGCTACTATTCTAAAAAGAATAAATGTTATACTTATATGATTGTAACATTCTTTGAAAATCAGCCCTCACATTCTAGGGGAGAATTTTAACATTCTTCATGAATATACAATTATTTATCAATCACACTGACCGAAAGCCTCCATCTCTCCCTAAACTCCATGAAACTTAGCAAGCAAGACACAGAAAATTTGGCAAATGTATGCATGTCAGCACAAAATAATGTACTTTGTCATTCCATTATAACAGTGAAATCCAACAAACTAAATCAATTTCGATGGGGATAAATTCATATTTGACAAACTGGTATTGAAGTGCTAAATAATTAAGTAATCAACAATGGCCGGTAGCTGATAGTATGTTAGAACAAAAAAAGGAAAACAGGAAATATACACATAGACCTTCATTAAACAAATGAATCTGCATTTCATATAAAATTAGTACCTTTCATCAGAAAAAAATACACAATATATAGAAAATTAAGGAACACCTGAAATTATCACTCTCGCAAAAGTGGCCTCCAAACCTATTTCCTAGAAATTGAAAGAAAAATATATCTTCCTTAAGGAACTCAATAAAAATTTGTTGCTCACTACCTTGCAGATAGATGGGTCTGCAAAAACAGGTTGTAAAATGTCCATAACATCATGCAAAGCTATAGTATCTAACAAAAAATCTTCCTTCTGGGTAGAAATCTGTTGAAACAAACAATATGCAAAAGCTCAAGGTGTGCATACGGTTTAACTGGTATAATAAAAACAAGTGCGATTAGAACTTGCCTGCATTAGAGCAGTAAATCCAAGGAATGACCGCAGACTATGCTGTTCTGTATCAACAGCAAAAACCTTTTCCATACGCAGTGTCTCAGCAAGAGACTCTAGCTGATGCTCGGTATTTATCCATGAATAGGAGTTACCCATATCTGAATTTGGATGATTACTACAGAATTTTATAAGTGGTGGGTGCTCCAACAAAAAACTGACCTCCTCTTCATATGGATGTACTTTCAAAGAAATTTCTGGTTCGAAATCAAGAATTTAATTGTTTTCATGTACAGTAAGGAGGTAATGGTAGTTTATGATTAAGATTTATGCCTGGAAACTTGTAGAATCATGAAATAATGATAGGCAAGTGTACGCCTGATTTGCAATTTTATGGAAGGAAAAGATGAAGCCCAGAAACCTTCACATGAAATCAAAGTATCTATTAGACCGACAATTTAAAATGTGTTTAGAACACAGCATGAAAACGGATTTGTTTGTGACATACGCAATGCTGTCAAATAGTCATCAAAACTATAAAATTCATCCCATAAGAAATTCAGGTTCGCATTTAACAATCAATATATCATCGCCTTATTAAGGTCACCATCTTTCTCTGCTATTATAATGAACTATTATCTTATGTCCACGCAAGACAATAATAACACGCTACATGATAACAAAGATGGACCAAGAAATTTTTCATACTTTCACTACATCTTTTATCGAGCTGTTCCTTATCAGTTCTATATGAAGCTTTCATGTTGTATTAATAATTTACAGCATGGATACCAAAAGATAACCATCTTGTTGTTGTTAATCACAATAGATGGAGGAAAACCTCAAAGAGTAGGGGCAGGCTGGAAACATTTTGTCAAGTGGCAACCAAATTCGCAGAAAAAGACAGGATCATCAAACACGTAAATAAACTCATACATTCAGTTCTGTAGTTTTCCAACAAGATAAAAACATCATTTACCAGACGTGCATGTTTTTCCTTTAAAAAAACAGCAATCCTGAGGGTTTTTTTTTTTTTTTTACTTCAATGATCTGTGTCCCACATGAAAAAAAAATCCTGGCTCCTCCCTGAGTATAGACATCAGGCAGAATGGATTTTACCTAAAATTCACGTCAAGAAGTAAAGCTGCATATCAGTTTTCAAACATTAAAGAGATTCGTCAGCAGAATCCAACCTTTTTCTGATTATTCTAACCTAATCACTTCAAGATGCTGCCTTTGAGACGCTAGATAAAAGGGTAATCAATTATAATAGGACTAAAAATAAGAATAAAAGGAAAGCATGAAATAATCAATGATTAGAGGAAAAAGAGAATAACAGGAGGATACACCTTTCTCCTTGCCTTCACGCTTGAAATGCTTGAAAGGTGCATACGAATTCCCGGCCAATACGCGCTTAAAATAATTCTGGGGCTTATCTTCCACCTCCGAGTAGCGCCGCCGGCCGGCAGAGCCCTCGCGCTGCAGCCGTCGCCGGTAAGTTTGCGCTACAAACAGGCAGGTGGCTGCAACAAAGACGCAAGCGGTCACCACAGCAGCCTTCACCCACTCGCAACTCGCCATTATAGACGAAGTAGGGCTTTCGACTTCGGTTTGTAGACTTCTTGTAGCTTTCGCGCTGGCTTAAAGAGGAGGAAGGCGGCGAATAGAAGCGCAGAGATCTAGGATTGATATCGATTTGATATCGGGCGCTGGATCAGAAGGGCGCGAACTTCTCCATTGCTCCAATCGTAGGTGATACATTTGCAGTTCTGATTACTGCACACAGTTTGCTGTATAGAACCACAACAGCTCTTGATCCCGTCAAGATATAATAATAACATAGTTGAATTAAACTAATTGTTTTAGCGTTAATCATTAAAATTGGTTTTAAAGAGGTTATGAGCGTGGAACTTTTATTTTGTCTCGTGAGCTGGCGTAGCTCTATCAGCGGACGTCAGTAAAATAGTACATGTATTTTTACTTTTTACTGCGCGACCTGTCAACCCGATCCGGAATGGCCCCGGGATTATTATGTTCGCGTATTGCTAGGTATTGCTCGGTATTGCTAGGTATTGATCGATTTTGCTCGGCAATAACGAAAAATACCATTCTGTAAAGACCAATACCGAGCAATACCGAGTTTTGCTAAAAACTCGGTATTGCTAGGTATTGGTCGATTTTGCTAAAAACTCGGTATTGGTCGATTTTGAAATACCATTATGTGAAGATCAATACCGGGCAATACCGAACAATACCTAGTTTTGCTAAAAATTTGGTATTGGTCTTCACAGTGCGGTATTTCTCGTTATTGCCAAGCAATGCCTAGCAATACCAAGCAATAAGTAGCAATACCGAGCAATACGCGAACATAGCAATCCTGGTTTCGGTCCGGGTCGGGTCATCGGGCCGCACAGTAAAAAGTGAGAACACGTGGCGACATATTATTGGCGTCCGAATGTAGAGCTACGTCAGGTCACCTGACATAATAATTGTTCATGGGCGTGGCTATGATTCGATCTACCATACATTCAAAACCAGCACTGAATACAAATAGTTGAATTTTCTCATGTGTAGGAAGTACATGCTCTAAATGATAATTACTTTCATAATTAGTTCATATTTTATAACCTAATCTTAACTTCAATATTAATTCAATCTTAATATCATATTTTATTTATTAGTATAATTGTGCTAATTATTTCTCTTATCTTATATATATACTTTTTAAAAAAATTAGAGATTGAAGCAACCAATAGGGATTCTCATATTAGGAGGACCAAGTAAACCTTCATCTAATCAAGAGAACAAACACTCTTAAGATAGAACAAATTGAATAAATTCTTGATGACATCCCCACATGGAGCATGTTATAAAAAATGATAAGTATTTTTGTTTCAATTTATTATTTTAACAAGTTAATTTATGGTTATAATTGCAAATTTTCACATATGTAGTCTCATTTATAAGAACATGATAGAGGTAATTTTTTCATTTACTAACAATTTTAATTTAAACTAAATTGTTGTTTTATTATCATACAATGACGAGAGACCTAACTAAAAATTTAAATGATGCCTTTACGCATCCACATTATACTTGTGATCACATCCACAAATTGTTAGGGAGTTATTGTGAGAAAATTTTGATGTATAGTTTATTATTTTCTTATGATTACTCATTTGTTTGATTAATTATATTAACATTCACTAGCAACAATTTCACTTTATATAATTGCAACTGTGTTTTCATTATGTATTTAGTAATTGGTTCATCAAATATTTATTGTCATAGTATGTTTTATGATTGTTATAAAAATGTGAACCATATTAAAAGGGCAAATGAATTAAAGGCTAATAAGATAAGTTATATATTAGGGATAGGCCCATACAAGTAAAAGTAAAAGACCTATCGAGGTAAGTCTTAGGGAAGTCGTACAAAAAGTACCTTATATTCTCTTAATTTTAAAAGTTTGAAATTCGTACCCATCCTTGAATAAGAGAGTAGCCCTCAATTCTAAAAGTTAGAAATGTGAACTCAATCTTCAATTAGAGAGTTGTAAGCGTGCATAAGCTTACAATCATCATATGACTTGCATAAAAATGTTGAACGCTAAACAAAACAAGACATTATGTTTTGGTATAGCTTATGCTTATTATAGAAATCTTATTTTTAATTGATTGCAAATTCATATGTGTATTATGTCACATGTATTACTTGTATATTTCATTGATCTCTAGCTCATTATTAGTGATTATACTACAATAAAGAGGAAGGAGACAAGGTTGATTGTCTTTTTTGTGTATATACATTTTTTATGTATATAGAGATCATAGTAGAAGTTATACAGACATTTTTTGGTATGTAAAAGTTATTGAAAATTTTCGTAAAGCTATGTATTTCTTTGATACGGTGTATATGTTTCTAAATGAAAAAATTGGTAGATGAATTGCTTAAACTGAAAGGTGTATAGTAATGAGGCTGTTTGAATAGGATATTTTCTACTCACATAATTCTAATAGAAGTATTTCAGAGTGGATGTTAGTAAGAAATATATCTTTTTCATGTTCTCCCTCTTTGTTACACTCCAGGTTGACTGTAAGGGAGGCAAAATAGGGTGTGATAGTGAAGCAAGGAGCAGAGAGTGGGCTTCAAGGGTGAAAATCGGATGATGCAAGAGGCTATTGGCATGGAGCAAATGTTTTCAATCGACATCAGCATGAATGGTAGGAGGCGGATGAGCATTGGGACAGTGAGGAACTGTGAGTGTTGTAGCCATGTGAGAACATTTGCTGGGAAAATATCAGGGCCGCCGTAAAGGATCCAGAACTTTTTAAGTGGAGTAAAAAGCAATGGAAAAATAAGAGAAGAAGAAATGAAGGTAAGTAAATTGGTTGTATCATAAAGTTTATAGTTGTCTTTTAGATTTCTTAAACATAGTAAATTTTTCTAAATATAATTATATTAATTTTGTTAGTATTCAATTGATATATGAGGAGGAAAGAAACTGATTTTGAGGTAAATTATTATATTTGTATAAAGTGATTTTTATGCAATTTATTTGAATAATAATTTTTTTCTCTAAATGTTTTCCTAGTTGGTAATATTTTGAGAAGATACTCATTATGTTATGTATTGCACACATATTCTTATTATAAAAGTAGTATGGTAGATAGATTATTTTTAAAAAGTATAAAACAAGACAACGCAAATACAATTTTTATTATGGATTTTGATGCGGAGCATCTTTAGCAAGGAGAATTGCGGCACAACTTACCTGCACATGCTCTGTTAGAGATGAGAGCCACTATCCCTTACTTTATTACTTGTTTTACTTTAGTTAGTTATTTAGTCAGAATATTCCACTTTTACTGTTTTTAGAATAGGTGTTATCATAGAAGCAGATATATGTGCTAGGGAAGAAGCAGAGAGGCAGTTTTTTCAATTTCACACAAGAAATACAGAACCAGTAGTTTTACTGTTTCATTGCTTTGTCTCTGTTCTGCTCGGCTAATTTTCTGTGCAGGATCCCAGTGCATCAGACTTGGTATCAGAGCCAGATGGCGGAGAGCAGCAGACGGGTGGCTCCCGGAGATGAACACAGCCTTGAAGCCCTGTGGGCAGAACACCGTGGTCTCGCGCAGCACCTGGAGGAGATTGCCGCCGACGTTCACCGATTCCACACTGAGTTGAGGCGGGACGTGCGAGCAATCTATGCTCGTCTGGATCGAATTGTTCCGCAGTGGACAATGGTTACGGCGAACACCCCGAATGGTAGGCGTAGAGCAGACGGAGCGCGGATGATGGAAGAAGGAGTGCGGATGATGGCAGGGGACACGCCGATCCCGGCAGGGTCTGATTCTGAGGACGCTACCGATCAATTTAGAGAGATGGGGCTGTCAGATTCCGATGAAGAAGTGATTCACCACCGCAGAAGGAGACCCCGAGACATTGATCGACATCACAGTGAGTTCCGTGTCAAAATGGATATACCATTTTTTGACGGAAAATTGCATATAGAAGATTACCTCGACTGGGAAAGGGCGGTAGAAACCTTCTTCGAGTACATGGAAGTTGAGCCGGAAAAACAAGTCAAATATGTTGCCTGTCGACTCAAATCTGGAGCTAGTGAGTGGTGGCTACAACTTCTGCAATCGAGAAGACGTGAAGGCAAGGGACCGGTGCGCAGCTGGTGGAGGATGAAGCAACTATTGCGTGGACATTTCTTGCCTACCGATTACGAGCAGATGTTGTACCTTCAATATCAGCATTGCGTTCAAGGTAGTCGAACTGTGAGCGACTACACGGAAGAGTTTTACCGGTTAAGTGCAAGAAATAATCTCAATGAGTCTACGAACCAATTGGTCGCAAGATATGTTGGTTGTTTGCGGGAAGCTATTCAAGACAAGCTTGAATTGAACACGGTGTGGTTCGTTTCACAAGCATTTAACTACACCCTGAAAGTTGAAACTCAGCTGGCTCGACACAGCAGAAACAGTCAATCCAAGAGAACACAGGAACAGGGCGGAGATCACCCACGATCAAACAGCTTCAGTGCGACTCAGGCAAGCAAAATTCCAAATCCTACCGCCAGTAACCCAAGTCCTGCTATTTCGGGTAGTAAAACTGCAGAGGGAAAGTTTGTACCGAAAGGGCAAGGGCAATTGAAAGACAATCCTTACGCAAAGCAGATGAACATCAAATGCTTTAGATGTTTCCAGCAAGGACACAAATCGAATGAGTGTCCAACCAGACCACAATTGCAACTAGTGGAAGCTGAAGGTGAGGATCCGCGTGATGACGCTGAGGAGGTAGGTGGCGATGAAGGCGAACCTCTCATCTGTGTGCTTCAGAAGTTACTCTTATCTCCGCGACTACCCACTGGCTCTCAGAGAAACGCATTGTTTAGAACGAAATGCACCATCAATGGTAAGGTGTGCACTCTATTGGTTGACAGTGGGTGCACCGAAAATGTTGTGTCGAGGGCCGCCGTGGAGGCTCTTCAGCTTAAAACGTCCAGGAACTCGAATCCTTATAAAGTTAGTTGGGTAAAGAAGGGGGTGGAAATGGAGATTACTGAATTATGCCGTGTACCGTTGTCCATCGGAAAGAGTTACTCAAGCGAGGTGGTATGTGATGTAATAGACATGGATGTATGTCACATAATTCTTGGGCGACCGTGGCAGTTTGACGTAGGCGCGACACATGACTGCCGAGCTAATACTTACACGTTTGATTGGAAGGGCAAATCAATTCGACTGCTGCCAAACATTCAAGGTACGGACTGTGTGATTGAGAAAAATAAAGCCAATTCACTTGTAGTTTCAGGTAACCAGCTACTACTAGCTTGGAGGGATTCAACACAAATCTTGGCTTTGGTTGTGAAAGAACAAGCCTATACCAGTGATCCTCACGCTATCCCTGAATCAGTTAAGGCGTTAATCAAACAGTTTCAGGACATTGGTCCTGAACACCTCCCTGCGGAGCTTCCTCCATTGAGGAATATTCAGCATCAAATCGATCTGACTCCCGGTGCCTCACTACCGAATTTGCCACACTACAAATTGAGTCCCGCCGAGCATCGGATATTACAGCAAATAGTTGACGAACTACTGGAGAAACAACTGATACAGCACAGTCTCAGTCCATGCGCAGTTCCGACATTATTAGTCCCAAAGAAAGATGGGAGTTGGAGGATGTGCGTCGATAGCAGAGCTGTTAATAAGATAACAGTCAAGTTCCGGTTTCCTATGCCACGGATGGACGAAATGCTAGAGAAATTGGCGGGATAACAAATTTTCTCAAAGCTTGATCTCAGTAGTGGTTATCACCAAATAAGGATTCGTCCCGGGGACGAGTGGAAGATGGCATTCAAGACTCGTGAAGGGTTATATGAGTGGCGTGTCATGCCATTTGGGTTGTGTAATGCACCAGCCACGTTCATGCGCTTGATGAACGAAATTCTAAAACCCTTCCTCAACAAGTGCTGTGTTGCTTATTTTGATGACGTTATAGTATTCAGCAGCAGTCTGGAAGCCCATATTCAACATTTGCGATAGCTTTTTGAAGTATTCCGTGAACAGCGACTTTTCTTAAATATGGAAAAGTGTGAGTTTGCTATGGAAGTTGTATCTTTCCTCGGCTTCAAAATATCTGCCACTGGTGTAAGTGCGGATCCCAGAAAGGTAAAATCGATAGTTGAGTGGCCGACGCCAAGATCATTCACTGAAGTCAGGATCTTTCATGGACTAGCAAACTTTTACAGAAGATTTATAAAAGGCTTTAGTATTATGTTAGCTCCCATAACTGATTTGCTGAAATTGAAACAATTCCAATGGAAAGCCGAACAGTAGGCCAGTTTTGAAGCCATTAAAAATGCGTTATCATCGGCACCAGTCCTTGCCTTGCCGGACTTTGATAAACCGTTTTCAGTCGAAACCGATGCCTCTACTGTAGGAATTGGAGCTGTTCTAGTACAAGAAGGCCGACCAGTCGAGTTCTTCAGCGAAAAACTATGTCCGTCCCGGCAAAGGTGGTCAGTATATGAGCAGGAATTGTATGCAGTGGTGCGAGCTTTGAAACAATGGGAGCATTACCTATTGCATCAGGATTTTATCCTCTGTAGTGATCACAAGGCGCTGCAGTACATGAATACACAGAAAAGTATAAACCGGATGCACGCGAGGTGGGTTCTGTTCTTACAGAAATTCACTTTTGTTTTGAAACATAAAAGTGGGGCTCAAAACCGGGTTGCTGATGCCTTGAGTAGAAGATTTGCACTCATTACTCAATTGCAAACCAATTTTGCTGGGCTGGAATGCTTGCAGGAGCTTTATGAGGGGGATCAGGACTTTGCAAAGGCTTGGATTAAATGCCTTAATAAGGAGCCTCTGGAAGATTATAATGTTAGGCACGGTTTTTTATTCAAAGGTAACCTACTGTGTATACCGAACTCGTCTTGGCGACACTTGCGAATATAGCAAGGTTATTCTTCAAGGAGATCGTGAGATTGCATGGGATGCCAAGGAGCCTGACATCTGATCGAGATGTGAAATTCCTCAGCCACTTTTGGCGTGAGCTATGGAAGAGATTCAAAACACGCCTGCAATTGAGCTCTTCGTATCACCCCCAAACTGACGGACAAACAAAAGTGGTGAACCGAACTTTGGGAAATTTACTGCGGTGCCTAGTTCAGGAGCAGCCGAAGTCATGGGATGATGTGCTCGGTCAAGCGGAGTTCGCTTTTAATTCAATGCCCAATCGATCTACGGGTAAGTGCCCATTTAGTATTGTATATACAAAAATGCCAAACCATGTTCTTGATGTCGCAGTTATACCCAACTGTAAGAGCAAAGCGGCGTCGACCTGGGTAGATCAATTCTCGGATATGCTAGAGAAGGTTCGGCTCAAACTACAAGAATCTAATGAAAAATACAAGCAAGATGCGGATCAACACAGGAGGAAGAAAGTATTTCAGCCTGGCGACGTAGTGTGGGTTCGGATGCAGAAGGAACGAATGCCGGCGGGAACTTGCAACAAACTCAATCGAAAGAAGTTTGGTCCCTTTTCAGTGAAGCACCAAATTAACGATAACGCTTATGTTATCGACTTACCCGCTGAGTTTAACACTTCAAACACCTTCAACATTGTGGACCTGTACCCTTACTTTCCACCAGACGAGGTTCACGACGTCGGGGATCAGCTGGGGAAAGACACTTTTGCAGAAGGGGCGTATGATGCGGAGCATCTTTAGCAAGGAGACTTGCGGCACAACTTACCTGCACATGCTCTGTTAGTGATGAGAGCCACTATCCCTTACTTTATTACTTGTTTTACTTTAGTTAGTTATTTAGTCAGAATATTCCCCTTTTATTGTTTTTAGAATAGGTGTTATCATAGAAGCAGATGTATGTGCTAGGGAAGAAGCAGAGAGACAGTTTTTTCAATTTCACACAAGAAATACAGAACCAGTAGTTTTACTGTTTCATTGCTTTGTCTCTGTTCTGCTCGGCTAATTTTCTGTGCAGGATCCCAGTGCATCAGATTTGTAACATTGTATGCATTAGAAATACAACAATTTAACTTATATATGTATATTGTTTGGATATTGTAATATTGTGATTGTACTATATATATTTGCCAATATTTATATTGTATGGTTGCATGCTTAATAATTATAAATTGAACGGTGGTTACCATTTGTTATTATCACAAAAGGCTTCTAAAAGAATACTCATCATCATATTTATGCCTGTAATACATATATATTTTTGCTGCAAATGATTTTGAAGACGTGCTATATTTTGCTGCTAATATCAAGACACGCTTATTTATGATAAATTTTGTGATAAGCTTATTTGCTACAAAGAGAGAATATTTCTTAATTGTCTTAAATTAGTTTAATTCAAATATGACAAAAATTGGTTAAATATATCTTAAATAAATACTGTTTAAGATGAATTTTTGAATCATTAATCTTACTTTGAAATGAATAAAATATATTATTAATAAAACAAAATTCAAGCTTTTTCGAATAAATTTTAAATAAAATGTTATCCAAACTCAAATTTTCTCCCTTAAATGCATGTATTTTATATCGAATCAAATACTTGCAAAAACAGATAATGAAAAGGATAAATCGCTCTCTCCACTTAGACAGTTAGTGCTCTAACAATGAGAAGTTTCAGGAGAAGCCAGCGCTTCATTTGGAGCTTCTCTTGTGGTACTGGTTCTTGATCCAGCTGACTCCCATGCTTGTGCCAGTCTTCACCTTCTGTGCTCCAACTTTGGCTGCCGTCTTCGCATGATGGGCTCCGATCACCGCGGCCGACTTGGCCTTGCCCAGCCCGGCGCTGGCCGTGGCCTTCAAGTTCGTCGTTTTCTTCCCTTTGTTATTGGTGCCGCTGCTACTGCCGTACTCATCTTCCAGTCCGCTGGAGCCCCACTGATCAGCCCAGCTTGGCGCTTCTGAACCCATATATATATGATCTGCAGAGCTTCAAAGGAAACTGAGTTAAAATTTTTTGGCTTAGTGAAGTTAGACAATATGCTTTGAGAAAAAAAAAAGTGAAACTTATCTTTTTGGATTTGTTAGAAATTAAAGGTCGGCTGCATAATTTAAAAATTTTCTCAAATTTTTATAAAGGCCTAGATGTAAGGTTTGTTTGGGATGGCTGCTATTTTTTATTTTAAAAAAGATCCTACATATAATAACTGAATTTTCTGATTTTTCAAAAAAAAAAACTAAAAAAAAAATTTAATATTAAATACATAGGGATATAGAAAAAGTCACAACAAGGGAAGTTTAGCTAGTTGCAACGAAGCTATCTAATCATCATAAAATCTCAGCTTTCATTTCAAAGAATTTAACAGAAATACATATAAAAAGAGGCAAAAATCACTAACGGGTGGGATGTAAAGAGAGGGAACGAGAGAGAGAGAGAGAGAGAGAGAGAGAGAGAGAGAGAGATGTACCTGTAAGGAAGAAAAGAAACTTGCCTGTGAGGATCGACTGAGGAGGGGAGAGAGAGAGAGGGAGAGAGAGAGGATGGCTGTAAAGTGATTGAGAACGGGGTTTGGAGCTTTCAGATTGCCTTGAAGACGAAGAAAACCATAAAAGGTTGACAAATTTGCAAGAGGAATTCAATTCAGGGGTTGGAGTATGAAACTACTAATTCCAAAGGGTTTAAATATTATTTTAACGAAAGAAAAGGAAGAAAAAAGGAGCCATCGGATATGCCTAATCTTTATTAAAGTTTGCAAAGCTGTTATGAATGACGAAAGAAAAGAAGACATTATTAGTTGAATTAGTTATGATAATGGACGTCACGACTTTGAGGCTTTGATCTAAGAAGGTGTGGGTAATTTCATAATTAAATTTAATATTTTAAAAATAGTTTTTAATGCATATTAAAAGAGCTTTAGCCATTAAAATATGGTTATACTTTATTTTTATTGAGCATTTGGTTATCGTCTTTTTTGTTATTTAATAAAAAAAATGTTTTAAATTTAATATAAAATTTTTAAAATTAAAATAAATTACGTTAATATGTTTTGGGAAAATAATAACATTAATTTTACTTCAGTTTGTTTTTGTTAGATAGTGGTCCATATTTAGATTATGTTTGCCTAGCAAGACTCCATATTAGAGTCTCTGACTACATATGTGCATCGTATGCTGATGTAAATAAGCCCAATTGAAAAAAAGGAATTTGGAATTCATGTTAGCTTTCTTTCTCTCCTCCTTTCCCCTCTCTCTCATCCAACAAGCTCAAGAAGATGCTTCTTCTTTCTGTAAGAATCTTAACAAGTGGTGTCAGAACATGTTGGAGGCGATCAAGGGGAATAAAGATGAAGGTTTTGGTATTCAAGAAAGGGAGAGGGGCATGACAAGGTCTCATTTCGTAGAAGGGTTGAGGTGGTTCGTCCCAAGTGTTTTGATCCTGCGCCAAGAACACGCAGCAGGCGGACAAGCAGAACGAAACGGCTTGCGTACATGATTTGTGCGGGTGGGCGTGCACGGGAGACAGTAGTTGGGTCGCGAGTCTCGCGGGTGTTGCAGATGGACAAAGGGCTACCGTAGGATGAAGTCTTGCAATTGCATGTGGACAAGCACGTTCGAAACGAGCACACATGAACATGCGCAGGTCTCGCTATGCACTCGGGATGCTGGAGCAAGCTGCGTAGGTGTGCTGCACGGGGTTGTTTTGGGGCTGAAGTGGGTTGCGTTTGATCGTGAGATTGTGTGATGCAGTGGCTCGGTGTGTGGGAGGTGCGGGAGCCTGGTGTCGCACAGGTCAGAGCATTGAGGCAGTGCAAAGCACCCGATCTGCCAGATCACATGTGGGTTGGAGCGTGCGAGATCTAGTGTCATGCGAAAGGCCGGACCATGTACGGGAGCACGAGAGAGCGGGAAAACACACGAGATGCGCATGTCACACAATACGCTAGGTGCGAAAGAGAGCTTCGGGCTTGTGAGTGGGTTCATGGTCATTTCTTGGACACAAGGGATCAGGCATGGATTGGATCTGCGTGCAAGAATGGAATATAGGCTTCAGAGTTGCAATCGACTGCAGAATCGGAAGCGGGGTTGGACGGCGGATTCCGTACAAGCCGAGATCTTGGGCACGATAGTAGGGGATCTGGTCATAAAGCACGGAGGGAGCTGGGCGGGGTGGTCAAATCCAACAGACTTGAGTTTGTGAGATGCAGGTGGAGGATATTGTTAAATTTTTTCATATATATATATATTGTTGTAATTGGTATCGCTTTGTATTCCAATTGAATTAAAATAACGATTTCCATGTGAAGCTCTATCTCCCTCACTTCCCTTCCTCTCTCTATCATCCAAGAGTTATATTATTCTCTAAGAAATTCTTAACAGTTTTGATTTAATTTTATTTCAATAACCAAATGCTTCCAATCTGGGCCACCGAAGCGGCCCTGCCGTTCTCTTTCCCATGCGACTCGTTAGTGGGTGTTTAATTTTTAGGTCACAAATTCATGTCTTTTTTTGGCAATTATAATCGATTAATTTGTAAAGCAGTGGTGCGCAAGCTTTGTCTGCTTTTGCCCCTTTTTCTTTTTCTCAGCTTTTAATTTTTTTCTTTAAGAAAAGTAAGGGCTCATTTTTCCATTAACTTTAATAAATAATTATATAAAAGCAATGGCCAAAAAATATCAACTCACGAACACGTAAAGTACAGATAAAAAAGCACAGCTACTACAAAAATTTGTAATGCTAGAGAATATACAAAAGATCAATTTGAAAAAAAAAAATCCTAAATTCAGAATGGATAAATATATCAACTCAGGTTTCATTTAGGATGACTTTTTTACAGCTGCTTTAAAACAATATCTTTTAAAAAATTATACAAAAAAAATATAATTTTTGTTCTACAAAGTTGTTTTTAAAATTAGTAAAAAATAGTCTCAAATGAAGTCTCATTATCATGTATCTAGTTGGCAAGATGAAGTTTTGTAACCTCGGTTTTTAGAAACTTTGCTTTTATTTGGACGATGATGAGTGGAACTGGCATGTTGCTGCTTTCCCCTTGGATGGTCTCGCCATTCCGCCCGTTTTTGGGTTATGCATTTGGTCTGGCATCTTTTGCACCCTGATGAACATCTTGTGGTTTGGTCTGATGGCAATCAAGGGTGCTGCTTCTTCCAGCCGCTGCTTATCTCGGGCCTAGAGCTATTCCTGCCATGATTTTCTATTTGCCCGAATGTGCCGATTATGGCAACTCTTGAGTCCTACTGAGACCAATTTTGACACTTTTTGGGAATTTTTTGATGTCCTTTTATAGTTGGTTTTGTTACAACTCTCATTTTACTTGTAATTTTTTTTAGAGTTGTTTTTTGTGGTTCTTTATAATATCTTTTTATAATATATGAGCTTTGCCTCAATTTCGCCCAAACTCTGTAGGAGAAACAACATATAGCAGCAACTTGAATGAGAGTGAGTCAATCATTATTGTCCAGATTGTCCGTTTGAGTCCCAACAACTGCGAAGCAAGTATTTAATTTCCTGATAGCTTTTTCAATTTGTGTTTTGCTGAGGATAGCCATTTTAATTTGAAAACATAAAAGAAGATTGGCTTTGAATATGATTAGCAAATATGTTGTTGTTTCTTTCTCTCCAAAGGAAGTAAGAACCATTAGAAATAGTAAAGGAAATTAAATTGAATGTCCATTTGATCTGAGCCAGCCTTATTAACAGCAAGTCCATTAGCGGTGAATCTAAAATAAAGGAAGTGCGGGGAACAGTGGAGATGGTAGCAGCAGCAGCTATGGGCAACCTTGAAGGAAAAAAACCTTTTATTAATGCTAATAATAGCGAATAAAGAGACATTAGATTGAAACATTTCGTATAAGGAACTTCTATTGCACCAAGCGTGTGGCTCCGATTTCCACAAGATGTATTTGGCGTGCCACCATCTTATTAAAAACCTACCAAATGTCAAATGACAGAGCATTTGTAAGTATAATCCAACAGAGAAAGGGAATGAATACGGAATACCCAACCCACAAAATAGTTTAGGTTTGCAAGTGGTGTGCAAAGAATTAAGATGCAACTTCTTGGATGAGCAGGGACGGAATCAGTCTTAATTGGGGAAAATTTATAAGTAACTTTTGGTGTTGCCCCGAATTTGGCTCAACCCTTCACTACAAGAAAATAGGTCAATAGTGCCCCTATTTGTTCATATCCTTGATCATTGTATGCTTCCTAGATATATATGGGGTCGAGGGGCAGCCCCCCTGCTTTCGGGGGTAACACCCTGGGAAATTTTATTTTCTAAAAAATAAAACGATGAATTATATTTACTATTTGATGGGGGTTAATTGCCTAATGATCATAGTATTTAAAAACTTTTAGGGGGGGGGGGATTGCATAAAAATTCTTGTAATGAAGACTAAAAAATAGATTGAGGGGAACAAATTATCTAAATAATCATATAATAATTTTTTTAGGAGAGGCAATTGCCCCCTTGACCTAATCCACCCCTATGGATGAGTGTCTTGATGGAACAAAAGTTGGCATCTAGCATGTTAAAAAATTTAAAATGAGATTTGGGTATGACTGCACATTTAATCCATTAAGCAATTGAGTTCCACATAATAAATGCTAAGAATTGAATATTGCCCGACAATAAAAGAGATTTGGCTTTCCAAACGTCAAGCAAAGAGGAATTTTTGATAGTTAGCAATTTTAAGATTTTTCATAGAGATTGGAATGCCCAAGTATGTGAAGGAGGAAAATGATATATTATATTTAAAATGCAACAAATGATGTCATGATTATAAACATGTTTAGAAAATATAATAGAGATTTCGAAAAAAAGAATGGTATATGACTCATACATATATTTGAAATGCTTAAAAATGTTCAGAGGAGAAGGAACACTGAGATTCTTAGTATTTCCAAACACCAAATGGTCATTTGCATATAGAAAGAGTGAGAGGTGGACTCCTTATTGATAGACTTGTAGTTGTATGTAAAATTTTTGAATAATATTACAATGCCCATTCATATCAATACAAAATAAGTATGGGGATATGTGGCATCATTGCCTTAAACTAGAAGAAAACCCCAAAAGTTCTCTTAAGAGAACCATTGATGCACAGGGGAATAATGCACATTTTTTATGTATGCTTTAATCCACCTACCAAATCTTGGAGGGAAACTTCTTTAATAAAGTTAGTAAAAAAAGATATATCTGGAGATGATGTCAAATGCTTTGTAAATGTCAATTTTTGCATAAAAGGAACTATCCTATTTAGATTTATTGAATTAAACAAGAATTTCATTTGTCAAAATGATATTATTAGTGAAGGTTTTTTTTTGTTTTTTGTTTTTGTTTTTTTGAGAAAATAATCATGGTTATAGTTGATAATATAACTAATGATAGATTTGAGTATGAAAGATATAGTCTTTGCACTAATTTTGTTAACGTATAGGCTTATAATATACAATGGTAGCTGATACATCATACAAAAATTATCTTGATATGACACTAATCTCAAAGCAAAATCAAGTTGGAAAGTTCCGAAATCAAAATCAGGAGCATCTGAACTCCGTTTTCAGCAAACTTATAGTCGAACTGAGCGTCTCGGAAATACAAACCCAACGACACCAAATTCGACCCAATCTGAGCCCAAATAGGTCCAAATCAAGGACCCGAAGCGCTGTTGGAAGGTTCAAACCACAATTTGGATTACCAAACAGATTCAAAACATAACAAGCTTATAGTCAAATTGAGCGGCTCGACGAGACAAATCCAAGATCATTAAATTCCGACATCACTACGACATTCAAACGTCAATCGAACGGTTCGTGATCAAGGGATCCAAGATCGGCCGTCCATCCAACCACTCACAACTAACCCTTGATCCTCCACCTATTTACGAGCCATGCCATTTCCCAAAATCTATAAATAGAGCCCCCTCTCCTCTTGAAGGGGGACCCCAGAGCCTAAGGAAAAAAGAGAGAGATCAGAGATCGCTCTTGCTTCCTAGCCTCCTCGACCAACGCCGGAGTTTCGCCGGACCACCACCTGACGCCCTGTGCTCCACCGGACCACCGCCTAACGCCGTCACTCCGCTGGACCACTACCTGACGCCCTGTACTCCACCGGACCACCGTTTAACGCCGTCACTCCGCCGGACCACCACCTGACGCCCTGTGCTCCACCGGACCACCGCCTAACGTCGTCACTCCGCCGGACCACCACATGATGCCCTGTGCTCCACCGACCACCGTCTAACGCCGTCACATCGTCGGACCACCACATGACGCCCTGTGCTCCACCGGACCACCGTCTAACGCCGTCATTCCGCCGGACCACCACCTAATGCTCTATGCTCCACCGAATCATCGCCTAACACCGTCGCTCCGCCGGATCATCACCTGACGCTCTACGCTCTGCTAGTCTTTCACTTGAAGCTCTCATCTTTGCCAGGCCACCATTGAAGATTCTCACATTTGTCAAACCTTCATCTAAGGCCCGAAGTTATGCCTTATCATCATCAAAGGCCCGAAGTCCTGTCAGACCATTACTCGACACCCGGGCTTCTATTGTACAATTGCTACTTGTAATCTGATCGTCCTTAGAGACGAGTCATCCCATTGTAACCAACTCAAGTTATAGTGGAATCATTTTCAACTGGGCTAGGCCCCGTGATTTTTCCCCTTTTCAAGGGTTTTCTGCGTAAAAAATCTTGTGTTCTCTGTGTGTGAGCTGGATATCCGTATAACGCTAAGACGAACAATTAAAACTCTATCGCCGTGTATATTCTAGCCCACAATAGTAGCATATAGAGAGATTTTTGTAATTGAGCCTATGATAGTGGCTTTAATTTCTTTTGGGTCGGGCTCTGATCGGACCCAGGATTGATCCAAGCTCAATTAGGCTTAGGGTCAAGCCCTTTTAAGTAATAAGTATATTTTAGGGGTGCAAACGAGTCGAGTCGAGCTCGAGCTCAAGGTTATTCGAGCCGAGCTAGTTAGTTATGCAGGCAGCTCGAGCTCGAGCTCGAGCACGACTCGAGTCAAGAACTCAAGCTTCGAGCTCGACTCGTGTGCCTGAATATAGGCTCGTTTTAGGCTCGTTAGCTCGAGCTCGAATAGTGAGCTCGAGCTCGACTCGATTATAAGCTCGAATTGATTATTTTTTCATGAATCTTTCATATTAAAAAATGATGCTTTTAACAAAATTTTCACCATTAAAAATCACATTATAAGTTACTTAAAAAAAACATGATGTCATTAAGATAATATCTAATGTAAAACAATAAAAAAATTTATATTTTCTTGACAAGAGCAAACCACAAGGATATCATATTAATAAAATTAATAACATGAAAGTTATAAATCCATAAAGGTTTGCTTGGTTACAAATTTCTCAAACATAAACATAATAAAATGAAAGATTTGAAATAGTCAATACTGTAGGATCAAATTACAAATTTTCCAAAACATAACATAATCATATATAATGTCTCAAATAGTCCTTAAAAAATACATTATGACCAAAATGACAAGTTTTTCATAGCTTCTTCATCTTCAAGACTTCATCTACCTGCAAAACTGCAATTAAAATTAGGTACCTTCTCTTTAGAGCTCAAATATGAATCTTTAAGACCCTTCTCGTAACTGCAGTAAGAAAAAAAAAACTGAGTTAATACACCTTCCTTTCAGCAGCTTGGCCTCGATCTCTTCAGGATTTCACTATTTAGAGAAAAAAGGTAGCACATAGAATAAAAACTGAATAAGAATCTGATTAAACTGAAAAAATATCAACTAATGTCACTAAGTCGAGTAAATAATTTTCCTTTCCAAGATTAATAGATCTGAAAAAAGAAATAAAAAACATAACAAAACAATATTAATAGATCTGCAAAAAGAAATAAAAACATGACAAAAAAAACTTACTAAAATCTTTAGTAACAACACAAGTTCAGCGCCGGCAACCACTTCTTTTGAAAAACGAATAAAACCTAATGAACCGGTTCACAACAAAAGTTTCAAAATATTTTTCGTTTTGGACTTTGGCTTATCCGCCCATTCCGCCGTGACGAAAAGTTCTGATTCCGCCTTAGCATTTGGCTTTGCCGCCTTTCGCACTTCCGTCGTTCCGCGTACTCGAGCCGCTCGTCGAGCACTCGAGTCGGACGGACTGTGTATTGAACTCGAGCTCGTTTATGCTTGAACTCGAGCTTGATACTCGATAAGTTCGACTCGCGAGCTCGTTAACGAGTCGAGCTCGAGTCGGCTCACGAGTCGGCTTGACTCATTTGCACCCCTAGTATATTTCACAGGCACGAGCCTTAAAGACTGGCAAAATGGAGAAGCTGAGGGCTACGGTGGCCCAGATCGCCGCCACAGCGGATAAGCGGCTGCCGGAGCTTCCGGTCCTCCACAGATCTCTCCTTCCATTCCTCTCCTTAGCGTCATGCTTCTACCGCCTCTGCCTCTACCTTCGCCGTCGTCTTTATCTCTCCGCCATTCTTCGTTGTCGGAGGCAAAACCATTATCTCATCTTCGTCTTCTACCTTCATCACCTGTATTGGCTAATGACTATAATATATATTTTCCTATTTAGGTTTCCGGTTCCGGTGATCAGTGTGGGGAATCTGACATGGGGAGGAAACGGGAAGACGCCCATGGTAGAGTTCATCGCAAGGTACCTGGATGAATTGGGGATACCTCCGCTAATACTTTCAAGGGTGAGCATTTTTGTTGGCCATTATGAAGCATGTTCGTGTCTATTGATTTTAGTTTGGTTTACTGTGATTGGGGTTTCTTAACCCAATCCATTATTTATCATTTTATTTCTTTCTTCATTCTATCGCAGGGCAAATTATTGGGTCAGGTGACCGAAGCCATCTCTCCGTTTGGTCGCCAATAGAAATGCGAGATCTATTAGGCGTTTTTTAATTTAATATTTACGCTTTATATCTTTTCAGAGTTAGCGACCCGACCCGATAACGCTTTTCATTTGAATTCCGGAAAATAAAGAATGGAAACGCTGCGCGACATCTTCACTGTTACTCCAACTCCAGCTCTGGTAAGCGCTCTCAGATTCCTCCATTTCCTTCAGTTCTGCATTAGCTTATTCCTGCCGGAGGTAGACGACGAACATGTAGAAGATC